ATTGGACTGTCATTAGCGCCGCATAACATGGGACCGGCATAAGGAGTTTGTAAATTACGCAGGCGAAAACACAATTCACAATCAATTACTGAAATTGCGGCTCCAGTGTCTATAAGGGCGTCAACAAAGACACCTTTCACACAAACAGGCAGTAAATTAGCTGGACGAGACGGAGGAGTTGTAACGTTCTGACAACAAGCAGTTTCCCCTCCAAAAACTGCACCTTCTAGTTTTCCGAGTCCAGAGAGATCGGAGCGGGACGCAGGGGTGATGACGTATGCCGAAACGGTGACGGAGAACGGCGGCGAGATGAACGAGAAGGATGAGGCCCAGCATGAGACCGTGGAGGGGAGGGCGACTGACGGGAGGTGGATGGATACGGTGCGGGATCGTATTCATCGGGTCTTGGGGTAAAGTTTCTCTCGTAAGCTGAGTAACCACGTCGTTCATCCTGCTGACGGCGGCGGCAGAAACAGGATATATGACCCCTTATGCCACAGTAGAAGCAGATGGGGCGCCATGTGGAATAGTGGCGTGGCCTTGGCGATTGCGTTGTCATCGCAGCCACGTGGTCGCATCCGACGTCCACAGGCACGGTTGGAACTGTTGCAGGGGCCCTCGATGCAACTTCTGCGTACGAAGGCACTGGGAAGCGCACAGGAGACGGGGCATGTGCAGCGCTTGTCATTGATGCCAGTTCGTCCTTGATTATCTCTCGCAGGTTGGGAGGATGTGTGTGGACAGACGCAACGGTAGGGTTGCCTGGAATAAGGCCGTGAAGTTCTTCTCTGACAATTGTGCGGATAAGGGCCCGCAATTCATGCTCTTTGGTAAAGCGAGCGTCGCAGGAGGCGTGTGGAAGGCGCATGGAATGAAGCGCGTCTAGGCGTTGGCAGGTAGTGATGACGTCCTGGACGGTAGTCGGATTCTGGATCACGAGAGCATTGAAGGCCACAGAGTTGATACCTTTCAGTAGATGTCGGATGCGATTGGCCTCCGTCATGTCATTTTGTGCTCGGCGACAGAGAGCCAGAATATCTTCAATGTAGGACGTATACGATTCGTCGTCCCCCTGGATGCGGGTTGCGAGCTTCTGTTTTGCTACTACAGAACATCCTGCAGACGTGCCAAATACCTGAAGGAGATGCCCCGTGAAGGCCGACCAATTGGAGAAGTCGCTCTCATGGTTGTAATACCAGGTTTTAGCGACGCCATCGAGGTAAAAAGGAACGTAGCGCAATTTGTGCGCCTCGTCCCAATAATTACAAACGCTTGTTCGATTATAACTGTCCGGCCATTCTTCGACGTCTTCGTTGCGAAGGCCGGAAAATACCGGAGGGTCTCGATGAGAGGTACTCACGGTGTAGTGAAGCCTAAGTGGCTGAGAAGGAGCGGTTGCAGCAGCGGACGCGTTGGGTTCTGCCATCGCTGTTGCTTGAGGGCACAACCGTCGACCAGACCGGAGCTCCAGGGGTGACGGGTAGAGCAGGAGGACGTGGGAACCAAAGCACGCTCCACCACTTATGAGACCACGTCCGGTACGGCAGCAACCAGGTTATCTTTTTAATCCAGACGCACGAGCCAGAGAGACAGCCCGCGTGACATACGATGATGATCACTACAATGGTTCGGTCATACACATGAAGATGAAGTACATAGTCAGCGCTCACAATATATATATATATATATATATATATATATATATATATATATATATATATTGTAGTGGGGAATTTTCGCAGCGTATTTTTGTCCGAAGTTCTGCAGCAGCTCCTACATTCATGCCGTACGGTACACCGCACATCAACAGCCTACCACCCTCAGACCAACGGCCTAACGGAACGTTTCAACAGAACCCTCGGAGACATGCTCGCTATGTATATTGATTCCGACCACTCCAACTGGGACGTTGTTCTTCCATTCGTGACGTACGCCTACAATACGGCGATTCAATCAACAACAGGCTTTTCTCCATTTTTTCTTTTATATGGTCGTGACCCATGCAACACACTCGACACAATTCTGCCATACAATCCTGATGCCTCAGAGTTCAGCCCAGTTTCTGAAATGGCCGAACATGCCGAAGAGTGTCGTCAACTTGCACGGTCCTTCACCACCGATAACCAAGCCCTCCAAAAAGATCGCCACGACCATGATCTTGTTCAGAATACCTTCCCCGTCGGTTCTCTCGTGTGGCTCCGACTGCCTTTCCACTCTCCTGGACTGAATCCCAAGTTTGCACCGAAGTATACGGGCCCTTACCGCGTCCTACAGCACCCTTCTTCTGTCACCTATGTGATTGAACCACTCAAGCCGTCCACGGACAAGCGCCGCCTTGGTCGTGAGACGGTCCACGTCAGTCGCCTCAAGCCCTGTTACGACCCTCCTGTTCTCTCGTCACCTTGAGTCGCCAGGATGGCTCGTCTTCGTCGCCGGGGCATTGTAGTGGGGAATTCGCAAGGCAATGACTAGTGGGACCATCGCTGAGTGCGAAGCGCGAGCGGGAGCACGAGCTGTAGACACTGGACTGCCCGAGCATTTGTTTCTGTACCGGCTGTCTGCCTATTACCTGGCGTCGCTAATAAACCCCCTTGCAATATATATATATATATATATATATATATATATATATATATATATATATATATATATATAAGGGAAAGAAGTGTATACCTAAGGGCTCGTTTTTCCGTGTTTTTAACACAATAATAATGAGATATAACAGACAGTAATGCCAAGGAATGTACAGGGGAAGTTATTAACATTAATGGAATGTAAATAAGAAGAAAGAAAAGTGGATGAAAAAATTACCAACTGTAAGCAGGAATCGAACCTACGACCTTCGAATTACGCGTTCGATGCTCTAACCACTGAGCTATTACAGCGGCACTCCCTCCATCCACTTTTTGGGTTTATCTGTGAATTTAGAAGTAGGAGCGACAGTCAGCGCCATCTATAAGCCAAACAACGAGTGTGAAAACACTCTTATGCGCATGTTTGGCGTCACGTAGCACGTGAACTTATTATGAGCGGGCAGCTGATTACTTGTCCCTCTTATACAACCTAAACACACCAAGTCTGCCAGTACGAGACCCTCGTTCAATGAAATAAGGGAAAGAAGTGTATACCTAAGGGCTCGTTTTTCCGTGTTTTTAACACAATAATAATGAGATATAACAGACAGTAATGCCAAGGAATGTACAGGGGAAGTTATTAACATTAATGGAATGTAAATAAGAAGAAAGAAAAGTGGATGAAAAAATTACCAACTGTAAGCAGGAATCGAACCTACGACCTTCGAATTACGCGTTCGATGCTCTAACCACTGAGCTATTACAGCGGCACTCCCTCCATCCACTTTTTGGGTTTATCTGTGAATTTAGAAGTAGGAGCGACAGTCAGCGCCATCTATAAGCCAAACAACGAGTGTGAAAACACTCTTATGCGCATGTTTGGCGTCACGTAGCACGTGAACTTATTATGAGCGGGCAGCTGATTACTTGTCCCTCTTATACAACCTAAACACACCAAGTCTGCCAGTACGAGACCCTCGTTCAATGAAATAAGGGAAAGAAGTGTATACCTAAGGGCTCGTTTTTCCGTGTTTTTAACACAATAATAATGAGATATAACAGACAGTAATGCCAAGGAATGTACAGGGGAAGTTATTAACATTAATGGAATGTAAATAAGAAGAAAGAAAAGTGGATGAAAAAATTACCAACTGTAAGCAGGAATCGAACCTACGACCTTCGAATTACGCGTTCGATGCTCTAACCACTGAGCTATTACAGCGGCACTCCCTCCATCCACTTTTTGGGTTTATCTGTGAATTTAGAAGTAGGAGCGACAGTCAGCGCCATCTATAAGCCAAACAACGAGTGTGAAAACACTCTTATGCGCATGTTTGGCGTCACGTAGCACGTGAACTTATTATGAGCGGGCAGCTGATTACTTGTCCCTCTTATACAACCTAAACACACCAAGTCTGCCAGTACGAGACCCTCGTTCAATGAAATAAGGGAAAGAAGTGTATACCTAAGGGCTCGTTTTTCCGTGTTTTTAACACAATAATAATATATATATATATATATATATATATATATATATATATATATATATATGGGACCCTGGAGCTGAAACGAAATTACCTTCAGAGGTGACCCTGAGATAGGGTAGCGGTATTTTTTAAAATGGCAGTGCTGTTAAATACGTTTGGCAAACTACCCCACTGCTATTCCTAACCGTGATCTCTTGCCAGAAGACAACGCTACAGTGAGTGCGCCACTCCATAAGTTCTGTTCAGTTGTAGTTTAGTCACACAGGCAATCGTAACACAGACGGAATCGTAAGCTTTACTTTAGTATATAGAACACGAAGTGGTAAGCACCTTTTTTCAACGTCTTCTAAAATTATTTTCAGTTTAGCAGCGCGAACTCAGTAGAACTACCTTTGATGAAGCCACGCTGGCCACCGGACAAGATGTGTTTATACTTGTACAGTGTTTGTACCTGCATGTCCTATTTGTTGTAGTGTAGTTGCTCGCAGGAAATTACCCCTTAATGCACGGTTGCGTTGACCCATGAAGCACTGGCCATGCATGCTTCTACGTCACCGTGTCCAACGTCCATACGGCATCGTGTGACGTCGAGTATCACTATCCCATGGTTGCTCTGATGGGACCATTTGGGTTCGGCCATGTAGTGTTCTTGCGCATGGCTGAAGCCGTAGGCATAGATGCTGCCATCTACGTGGTTTCGATAAGCGCCACCTACCGAGGAATGTGACCGGTATTAAACAGCACCTCGGTGATTCCGATGCACTAAAATGAAGAGGAATAAATTGCGGAAGCGGACGTCAAGTTGAATGGCTGTATTCAGATGAGGTAGATGACAGCGCTTACGTTAGTAAGCAGTGGGTGACATGGCATTGGTTCGTTTGGGACCAGCTTTGCTCTATCCAGAAATAAAATCTGCAAAGTATGCCAATATTACCAGCGCGTATTTCTCTTCCCGTGGTATGTGCTTCAAAGCGCAGCTCTGGAACAATAAATAAAAGAAAAGCCATGAAGTACAACATAATACAGAGAAACATTTTGACAAAGCTCGTTCACTTTATGGTTATTCAATATATCCATGAAAATTTTGAAGGTTTTCTGAAGGCATCATGTCGTACTTTTATTTATGGTGGTCGGTCTTGGTTCTATTATTTGTTATGTTTATCATAGTCTACTGCACTTAGTAATCATCTGCTTTTAAGATTTGCTTTGCTTTCATGAAAATTGGATGTAATTTGGCTGAATATGGCTGAACGATCGCAGCGCCACATTTATTTTAGTTAACTTTAATAACGTTGCGACCGTGACCATACGGCAAACCACTCTCGCGTGGCGCTCACGAGACGAATCACACAGCAGCTTGTCAAAGTGTGTCACAAAGCTTGCCACAAAGCCGCCGCGACACTGCTGGCTGGAGGGAGGTCGTTTAGGGGTGAAAAACCGACTTTTTCTAGAATTGTATCCGAGTGTGACGCACTCGTAGTCATGACGAAAGTGAGTGAGTGAAACTGGACATAATAAAGCCAATTAAAACATAAGAAAGAGAAAAAAAGAAAGAGAAGCTGCTGAAGGTTTTGATGCACTGAAACGTAACATTCAGTCTCTCGTTTTTTTTTTTCAGATGCACCACCCTTTCAATCAGTGTAGTCTTGAACGCGCTCACAAAGACGTAAACAAGAGAAAGCTAGGGATTCGAGCGTGCAGTAAGTTCCTCCGACTCTGCTATTATGCAAATTCAATTTTTGCCACATTTCATTAGTGAGGCAATGAACGCCGATAGTGAGTTATTGGATGATTACTTGACAAAGTTTTTTGAAGTCTTTTTAAAAAAATATTGCACTCTTGCCCTGCTGGTGTAATTGTGTTGCCATAAGACATCGTCACTCTGCCACATTTTGCTTTAACTGATAACATACGCGGGGCATCCCAAGACCCAAGAACATTGATGCGTCAGCAAGTTTTCGAGCTTTAGCAATACGCAGCAAAAATGGAGGAACTTTGACCGAAGTAACCTATTTGAACACGATCTACTCAGAAAGTGATCATATGTATACAAGGTCATTACTCACATTTGCAGCAATCAGCAGGTTGGTCACATTCAGGCGTATCTGCTCCATGAGAACCTTATGGTCCAGAGTTTAAGAAAAAAAAGGTTGATCCATCTCATATAGGAATCGGTATAAGACACTAAAGTAATAAGTGTCTTCACAGATGCAGTTGAATGATTATTACACATTCATGTATAGTGTCTATAGGTGTTAAGTGGCTATAGCACCCTTAGCGCATCTTCTCCTAGCAGCAGCAGCGCAGCAGTAGCAGCAGTAGTAGTAGTAGTAGTAGTAGTAGTAGTAGTAGTAGTAGTAGTAGTAGTAGTAGTAGTAGTAGTAGTAGTAGTAGTGAAAAGGAGAAGACGAAGAAGTTCTAATGCATCAGCTTTGCTAGGCCAGTTCCTATTTTTTTGATATTATTCTCAGTCTGACAGTCTTTATCGCTCTCCTGGGCTTCGCACTCCACCCGTAACGACCTGGAGGCTTCCGTCCATCTGGAGAAACACGTGAAGAGGACTTCTAGGTGCACTGCGCCGTACCCACCACGACACGGAACATCACCGCCAGATGCACTCGATGCCGCATCTATGGCAGCGTTGGCAAGTACTACTCCTGCAGCCCTTGTGGAGGAAACTACAGATCAAGACCCCTTAAACAAGCGATGGCGCGTTGAACAGGACAGCTCCGATCCTTCGGAGGGAAATGGAGACGATATAGACCAAGCGTCCTTCACGGTTGTTTCCTACAAGAAAAAAGAGGTACTGGCATTCCTGTCGTCTTCCGACCTACCGTGAAAGGCGGATGCCTATGGAAGGTCAACCCTAACAATGTGGCTTCAGCGGTTGTAACGTTGGCCTGGAATGTTCTGAACCATCGCCACAACAAACATGGAAGTTTGGTGGTTACAGTGTCAGCCCTACCCACTGCTAACCGTTTGCTCACTGTGACTGAACTGGTCGGCGTAGCTGTAGAAGCCCGAGTTTTGTACTCATACAGGGCGAACTATAGAAAAATACAAGATGTCCCACTGAGCTACTCAAATCAAGAACTAACTACAAGACTATCTGCGGGATCAAGGAGTCGTTTCAGCGAGCAGGCTCACCACCTTCACACCCGAAGAGGGAGGAAAAGTCAAAGGGGTACGTCGTTGATCTGTCATTTTGCTATTTAGCAAGAATTCACCGATACCGAAAAGAGTTACGCTTGGATTCTGTAGTTACCCGGTTGCCGAATACATTGGGGCAGCTACACAGTGTTACAAGTGTCAAAGGCATGGTTACATATCAAGACACTGCACAGGCCCTGCAAAAAGTGTGTGCTGGGCCTCACTCGCACAAGGAATGCACGTCAAGAGCACAACCTAAATGTGCAAACTGTGGTGGCACACACCCTGCCTCATATGGAGGATGCATAAAAAAGATGGCTGCTAGACTCGCACGCACGTTGGAGCAAGCACAAGGGAAACCACCAAGGCGGAGCGAACCACCGCCTAACCCTGATGTGGTATTCACGAGTATGAAAGACGTCTCCGAGGAGCAACCACCAAAAAGCCAAAAAACATCTGCTAACGCGTACGCAGGTGTTACTAAAAAAACCTGGAAAACTCATGGGCTTGTCGTCTTCATCAAAATCATCGCATCATACCTCAAAAGACCCACCAAGCCAGCACTACCATCACCAGTCTCAGTCACTACAACACGACAAGGAAATCTGCGAGAGACATCAACATGCAAACACCGATCAAGATGTCACACGCATACTGATTCCTATGTTGCTTGAAGCCCTAAAAGCTCTTGTCCACGCAAACCCCTCATCAAGAAGTCTTCCAGAGGTAGAAGCAATCCTTGCAATAGAGCCCATGGTGTCGACATCCTACGCACCACAGGGGCGCAATTCTTCAAAGTAACAATCACGGCTTTCCCAACGACATCGCCACCTGAACTGAAAATACATAAATTACTTAGCACATACACCATATTCCAGTGGAACGCTCGCGGGCTTCGCTTAAAGTTTTCGAATTTCCGACAGCTGGTGCGAGCATACCAATTCCCTTTCATCAACATATCTGAATCATGAGTCTGACCACATTTCAGAATGAACGGTATTATTTTCTTCATTCAAAACGACTAGACCATATCAGCACATTACTCGTAGGCATTCACAGAGATATCCGGCCTCCGAGATCGACATCCCACCCTACAATGACAATGAATATGCGTGTGCCATCACAGCAATTGGTAAACAAGAATACACACTCATTGGAGTATACCTGTAACCAGATAAGCCTTTCCAAGCCTCAAGACTAGAAAATTTGATTTCAAGAACACCTTCTCTACACATGAATTGTGGAGACTTAAATGCCCACAATGAAATTTGGGGCAGCTCACACACTTGTGCGCGAGGAGCCAAGCTCGCAGAACTACTTTTAAAACATTCCATTGAACCTCTGAATGACAGCAATATCACATATCTACGAGGATTTTCGACTACCAGTAGCATCGACGTCACGTTCGCAACAAGCTCAGTTGCCCGCAACTTTCACTGGTGCACGGACTTGGAAATACGGGGGAGTGATCACTACCCAATCATGATATCAGCTGTTGGTGCGAAGATGTCATCAAAAAATTAATTAGAAGATCTACTGATTGGGATGCGTTTAAAGACGCCAACTGCTGCCACCAAGGACGAAAAATTACTCACTACAATGTATCATTGCCTAAAAGCAAGCACACGTCTTTCATCTAAGAATGACACATTTCCGTCAAACGATGAGGAGTTCGAAAAACTGTGTGCTATTCGCAGGCGAGCTGAAAGGAAAGTATTGCGCACAAAGTGTCTTGAAGACCTTCAAGCCTGCCGACGGACACAACGTCATATCCAGCGTAACCTGGATGAACGTAGCTGGCAAAGATGGCGCGAATTTCGCTCCACACTGGACGTTCATTAACCGGTAGCCAAAACATGGCGGGTCTTTAGAGGCATGACAACGCCGCTTCCACAGCTTCACTCTTTCACCGCACTTTCTGTACACAAACGGAAATCCCTCATAGAGCTGTCAGAAAGGTACTGCACACTGTTATCATCAACTTCAATACCATGGAGCTATTCAGCAAGCAACAGGTGTGACTTCTCATGAGAGACAGTGCCAGCATTGGATTTGCCTTTCACAATTGAAGAACTGAACACCGCAATTAGCGAATAAAACAGGCACACATCATCCGGTCACGACGAAATAAGCTATGAAGCAATCGCTAAGTTACCCCACACCTCCCGCCTACGATTCCTAGACGATTATAATTCTTCATGGCTGTCTGGCGAGGTTCCTGCAGAATGGAAACTCGTTAAATAGTGCCCATTTCGAAACCTTCAAAGCAGCCAACAAGCTACGCCTCTTTCCGGCATCTTTCCCTGCTGAGTTGCGTTGGCAAGCTTATAGAGCGAATTGTTCGTAAACGAATGACTTGATTTTTAGAAAGCTACGACAAATTTTCTCAAAAAATGAACGGATTTTCTCAAGGCAGATCAGCTATCAATAATGTCCTCACCCTCGTCTCTTCCCTTGAAGAGGACCTCTTTGCTGGACGCATTTTAATAGCTATCTTTCTCAACATTAAATCAGCTTTTGACTCCGTCTTTCACCATGCCATTCTTGCAACCATGGTCAGTCTTGGCCTTGGAGGGAGACTGTATAATTGAATTGAGAGCTATTTAAAAGAACGAAAGATATATATGTGCACTCTAAATGGTCCCACGCAGTTCTACGCAGTAGAGAAAGGCGTGCCCCAGGGCGCAGTGCTCAGTCCACTCCTTTCCAACATTACCCTGATACAAATTACAAGGATATTGCCACGAGGAGTGCACATCACAATTTACGCCGACGATGTCTGTATCTAGAGTGCTTCAAGTTCGCGTTTTTTTAACCAAACGACGCCTTCAAAAAAGCTTTACGGAACCTTTCCGCGTATTTGGCTCCCAGGGGTATGCAGTTTTCTACAGAAAAGAGCACATCCATCGCATTCACAAGAAAGAAAATGACCAAGTGTCCGCTCCTCCTCGGTGGCCGGCCACTGACCTAAGTACGGTCTCGGCGCTTTCTTGGAATAGTCATCGACAGAAGTCTTTCCTGGTCGCCTGAGGTGAAGAAACTTCGTGCGAGAATAGCTGCAGCATCACAACTCTTCATATTCATGGCGGGAAAACGATGGGGACGCAAGTGCGCATCAATGGTCCTGCTTGAGAAAGCGTATATCGAAGGAACCTTGCGTTATTGCCTACCGATGCTTCACCGATTATCACCAACAAACAAGAGAACTTTAGAAGCCGCACGAAACAAGTGCCTAAGAATTTGTCTAGGCCTTCCGAAGAGCTCATCAGGCTCGGGAACTGTAGCGGAAGCAAGATGGCTTCCGCTAGGTGCCATCTGCACTCAAGAAAAATTGGGCACTCATTTACGTCATGTCGTACATAGGAATAAGCATTTTGTGTACCACATACATCTCACCTACAGCAATTCAGCATTCGGCCTAGCTGTGAAAATGCAGCAACTTACTGCTATTAGACAGCCAAAGAAATTGATGCCTCCAAGATTTCCTCCGTGGGCGCTTTCACCTCTTGATATTAAACACTGTTTTCTTCAGGAATCAATGAAGCGAAAAGATGTATTGCACAGACCACACTGCTGCAGACTACTCTCTTCTACTTAGCCCAGCATTACACTCAGCGTTCTCATATTTATACTGACGCCTCAACTGTTCTGGAAATTTCGTCATATGGCCTCTATGTTCCCTCTATGTTCCCTCTATGTTCCCTCTATTGTATCGGCTACAACGCAGGACATCATCAACGACAGCAGAAATTCATGAAATTATAGAAGCAGCCCTCTACATCCTGCGGCAAACGCCGAAACGATGGGTGATCTTCCCCGACTCCAAGGAAGCACTACAAATACTATTCAGCCTCTTAAAGAAAACAAGTTATCACCCAATTTCATTTGATATAGCGTACTTACACCTCTTGACTTTTATCGTGGGTCACACTATCACATTTCAATGGATACCGGCTCATTGCGGTATACTGGCCAATGAAAAAGGAGATGAAGCGGCCCGCAAAGGACTTCAAAAGCAAAATTACAGGCGAAGCTATTTTACTAAATCAGATGCTTCCCGCTGGCTAAAAAGCTTGCTTCCGAGGAAAAGATGAGGCCATGAAATCTCCCGACACATCAATATGCTTTCCTCCATTCTATCGACCCACATCTAAGGACTAGGCACCCATCCCAAATCCCTCGACACCTGACACTGAAAAACATATTTTGTTTGAGTACCAAGCGTATGCCGATGAGCGTGTGCTCTATGAACACTACATGCATCTGGTAACCCAAAGGACCTTATCAGTTGACTGTGTCCTGGGCCCTTTCCCCAGCTTCACGCAACAGAGGCAAGCGATGAAACTTTTATTCACGTATTTAGAAAATATCGGTCAGATAGACAAACTGTAGGGGCGCCCGAAAACTGAAGTCATGCTGTCAACACATGTCTCCGCCCTAGAGACAGAAAAATGTCTGTATATTCACTTTTTTCTTTCCATTTTATTTCTTAGTATTTTTTCTCTTTCTGTTCTTGCCTTTCAGTCCCCAATCCCATTCCCCACGCAGAGTAGCAAGTCAGCCACACACACACGCCGGCTAAATTATCTGTTTTTCAATAGAGAGCTCTCTCTCTCCCTCTCTCTCTCTAGTAGTATTAGTAGTAGTAGTAGTAGTATCAATAATAATAATAATAATAATAATAATAATAATAATAATAATAATAATAATAATAATAATAATGCGGGGTAACTCAACCTGGAACTCCACAACAGAAAACCAGCTGCCGTCCCAGAAATGGCTGAAGAAAATACCCAGCACCTCCACCACTCTGAAACGGAGTTTATAGGCGCAGGTAGTACTTGCACAGCAGGTCTATTAATGCGGAAAGCGGGCGGCAGCGACGGACCCAGGAATCACAGCACTCGGGCCAACAGCTCGCACTTGGCTCCTCTCGCTAAAGGCGTGACCCACTGCGGCACATAATCTTCTTCCTCTCTACAATATTATTAGTATAATAGTAGTAGTCGTAGTAGCAGTAGTAGTAGTATCCGACCTAACTGTTTCGGTTTACATTTACCAGTGGGTGCCCCATTCACTGTGCGAGCTTGCTAGCCCAGTCGATCACTCTTCGCTGGTCGTCCAGGTGGCTTGGTAATAAGAGAGAACAACTGGTTAATCAAGGTGCACACTTTTTACCTTACTGGTTACTCTGACCAATATTCTTTTGTTGGAGGATACCAAAATATTTCAGTGTTTCCGGCGGCTTCTATAAGCATTGGGAACTCACCCTATCTGATTTCGCAATTATGGGACGTCTGAATGTAATAAATATCAATAGCGATAGCTTATCGTATGCCAAGAGACTGAATAAACTTGACCTGACTGGGCTTATTTTGCTGTCATTTTGTTAGACCACAAAGAAAAGGCATTGATCATTCATAGGCAGGTGATCTGACACATTACCCGCGCCAAATTGGGGGCTATGTGGAAAGTAGGAAGAATATCTTGTGCAGCTGCGCACATACGTACCGGGTTGATGATCTGCGCCGTTTTTAACAGCCTCTCCAAACAATGCAAAAATGCCCTCTGGAATCCAGTTGGAGTCTGAAATGATTTCTAGCGTCAGAATACGTGGCCCGAGGCAAAGGTCAACTATAAAAGCCATGCTTCCAACATACACCATCACTGTAGGTGGTGAAGGCGTAGCACATCCGGAGGGTGACACACAGCCGCCGATGTTCCTGCATGAACGAATTTCGCCAGGCTATGAATAATTATCTTTGTCACCATTTGATTCCTATTCGACTTTACCATTCTTGCGTGCTCCCCTTTACTCTCTTTCTTTACTATTCTACCAATATGCCCTCATCTCTTGACCCTGTAGAGGCTGGCATACCGGTTATGCAAAACTAGTCAACATTTTGGCCTCTCCTCTTTCGTTTTCCTTCCTTCTAACATTCTACTTATCAAGGTTTAGGCATTCGCTCTTTTATTTTTTTCATTCGTAGTCATCACTGCTGTAGAGCACTATATCATATATGCAAAGCTTAGGTTTCCGAGACATTCTCCATGAAGCTTAATGGCCGACTCTGTCCAGCCCAGTAACTTTTGTTGTTTATTTATGCACGCAGTGAACAGCAGCGGGGATATTCAACCTCCCTGTCAGACACATTTTTCGATCGCGATTGTATTGACATTCCTATGGAGAAGCAGAGTAACTATGACTCCCTTGTATAGGTTAGGTTGTGTATATTTTCGAAGATATGTGCCACCTTTAAACTATTCGCGCAGGTTCATAAGGCCTTCAAGAGGACAACTGTGCTCTAATAAAACAAAGAAGAAAGACGTCACGGCATGCGCCTTCACCGCGCAGGCTTCAGCAATGAATGGAGGAATTGAAGCACCCTTCGATGGCATTGTTATAAGTTTTTAAGACGTGAATAAAAACTTTCGATTCTTGGCCGATTCTCCTATGGTGGGTGTTTGCCATAGTTAATAGGTAACAAAGAACAAGGCATTGACACTCTAGATCTCCTACGAAGAACACTTCCATTTGGTGGTTATGGATTAGCCCATAATAAACATTCGTTCTGAAACCACCAGAATTTTGCGTCAAATTATGTTTCATGAAGTAACGTGATTAACGAATAGCGGTCGCATTTTGGTGTCGCAAAATGATAGATCCCCGTGTACTGTGCAATGTCAGTGAACGTGAAACAACACCTTGCAGTCGAAATTTCTTGGTACTCCAATATGGCAGTTTAGTACGGTGGTCACTGTGCATGGCATACACTCTAGTTTTAACAGCTCATGGTTAGAAAGTTGCGGACAGATATCACTCTAACTCTGTGTATGTCAAATAGTTTTAGCGGCATTTTCGTAGATCTTTTTATGAACTGTATTTCTAAAAAAATGTAAAAATTGTGAATCGGGCAGAAGCTCAACCAAAGAGCTCTTGAATACTCACCAGGTAGCAATGTTTTTTACTCATGAGTACGAAAATGTAAGATACAGACATCGTGCGCTTGGCACTCAGTTCGGAAAGATATGATGTTGGTTTGGTCTATGTGTTATGTATAACTTTCTTATGAAAAAAAAGTTTTCAAGGAAAACTTTGCTGATGGTAAATAGTATTAGGAGCCTGGCAGAAGACAACCGACTGATCGCTGCTCCTTTATCACTAGTCACATGTCTGAACAGGTCCATTTGGTTTCTGTCCTTTGAACCGCATGTGGCATCCGAAATGCTGATAACTAGCCTTACACAAGTGCCCGTGAGGTACACGATTTCTCCATCACGAATAAGTGAGCAAAAATGAAGTTGAGATCCCGCAATCTGAATGTGAAAATTCTAGATTCTACAGACGTGCAATAAATAGGTACAATAGAACGTTAATTATTGGTAAGTATTAAAAACTTACCTAATAATTTGGATATATGTACTTGCATACTCGCCCCACCGCGGTGGTCTAGTGACTAAGGTACTCGACTGCTGACCCGTAGGTCATGGGATCGAATCCCCACTGTGGCGGCTACATTTCCGATGGAAGCGGAAATGTTGTAGGCTCGTGTGCTCAGATTTGGGTGCACGTTAAAGAACTCCAGGTGATACAAATCTCCAGAGCCCTCCACTACAGCGTCTCTTATAACCATATCGTGGTTTTGGGACGTTAAACCACCCAAAAAATCGATAAAAAATCATTTGCACGCATGCTCCTAGGCTGCTTTTTTGTTTTACTCTCGTGTTTTCAAGGAGACTGGAATTTGTGCACTTGCCGCAGGAGAACTTCCAGGGAAAAGATTCTTTTTTTTTTTACATTTGCCTTCTGAGTGTATCAGGTTTTTTGGGTAAGCTGCTTCAAGCTAAAACGTCACATAGGTGAATTCGCTCTTCCGTGCTTAATTCGTATAGAATGATGATGAGGACGAAACACGCACACACGCTATAGTTAACTTGAATTGAGGAGCGCGTCAAAGCACCTCAACTTGCCAAATTAGTCCAGAGGCACGGGTGAGTGTCTCATGGCGAGATTGTTTGGGACACGTTAGATCCTTTGCATTTATCAGTTAGAGGAGACCACGTTATTGCTTAAACCTGTAGTGTGATTTCAACGATGTATCAGTATGTGAGATGACAGCACAAGCATTAGTACGTAAGCTAACTTAAAAAGCACGTCAAGGCCTATGGTGACCATGAAGTCAGCTTCTGCTACTGCAATTGCTCATACCATCCCAAAGAATATCAGTAGAGTGCTTAAACGGGTAGTAAAAACTTACCCTGAGGACTAGAGGGCTAACGTTGAGAGTCACAATATGCTCCTTGCACGCCAGCATCAAGTCTGTAGCTGCCCTCATTCCACGAGCGAAGTCTCTAGGATCTAAGTGCAAAATATAAAAAAACAAAAACATTTCACCCTTGCATATACAAACGGCCCGGATGCTGAAGAACGAATCAGAGTTTCACAACATCGTGCTAAACTTCGGGTTGATACTCAACTGTTTAAGCGTGGCGTATGCAACAATAAAGGCCCGCGGTCGTTTTCTAAAATCAGGATAACTATTTTTCGGGGCTATATGCACCACAGCCAGTCAAAATGAAGCACGCCGTAGTGGAGGAGCACGGATCATTGGGACCACTTGGGATACGCCAATGTTCACTGGCTATGCGCACTATTCACCGCCATCGAAACGCGACTGCCACTTGTGGTATCGAACCCACGTCTTCTAGGTCCACAGCCCACTGCGCCACCGTAGCGGCCAAGTGGTTTACGAAATGTCTATATGCACGTGCAAACGTCTGTTACCCGTAACTAGCCTGGTTTTGGTAATTTTCACACAAACTCACACGCACCCGCGCATGTACACGCACACAAACACACCCAGGCACACACGCAACTACACACGCACACACATGTGCACGTACACACGCATGCATACCATCCCACATAGGAACGCACACGCAGACACACGCAGACATACAGCACACACACACGCACGAAAACGCATGTACACAAACACGCGCGCGCACGCCCGCCCGCGAGTACACACATGGTATTACCCGGAGAAGAGGCGAAAGAGTGCTGACATCTTAAAAACCAAATAGAACAACAGAGTTCTCAAACCTAAATTTTCGCGGAGCCATGAAATGTTAAAACCAGTCATGTGACTATTCATGACGTTCGCCTTAGCTGCGATGTCTAGCAGCCACATTTGGAACCTGAACGGGTATAGTACGGGGTTTTTCAATTAGTTGGGGGTCTCCTTTCGCCGATGTATCACGAGAAGGACATGCCGGCCAGAGAGGCATCGGGATCCTAAATACGAAGGCACAATTGAAGCAAGCTGCATTCAATCATGGCGCAAAGCGTACATTTGTTGGAATGGGGCCAGCCCTGAAAGCACAATTGCTTATCTCTAGTACACGATATGACCCATCCTTACGGCCACTAGTGCCTTCCCATATCAGCATACAGTGTTTCTGAGCGAGAGACAGACAGACCAATTTTATTCTTGTCCTTGCAGGGGTCATGTGAGCTGGAGACGAAAGACTTACCCTGCAAGAACGGCCCTTGTTCACACCCGCTGCGGTGGTCTAGTGGCTAAGGCATTCGGCTGCTGATCTGTTGGTCGCGGGATGAAATCCCGGCCGCGGTGACAGCATTTTCTGTGGAGGTGGAAGTGCTCGAGGCCCGTGTGCCTATATTTAGGTGCATGTTAATGGTCCGAATTTCCGAATCCCTCCACTGCGGCGTCTCTCTGTTCATATGCTGATTTTGGGACATTAAACCCCAACAATTATTATGATCGACCTTACTTAGAAGTAGAAAATTCTAAAGGAAAGTTTTCTCAAACTAAGTGGCTTATACATTTTATGCGCAAGGGTTTTTCCTCGGATTACACTACCAATTCCAGGTGGGTACATGATCCATCTTCTGGAGCGACATCTCAAACACTCACAAGTAACGTCAGCACAGCGAATATGTCTGCTGCAAGGTAAGGCTGCAGTGGGGTCTTGTTAGTACGACTCTATCGCGTAATGCCCAGCACGCAGTGAAGACAACCGAAAGGTGTGTCACCGATCTCTATGTTTCTTTCGTTTCCGAAAGAGGCTTCTTTTGAAAACACCGGTGGGCCTCCGGGGGCACTCGGAATTTGACCCTGGGCCTGCCGCGTTGTATACAGACGGCCAGCTGTTTCGCCACCGCTGCAGTACCCGTATATTCGCCGTTACGCTACTCGTACCAACAATTGTCAGGTGTCGATTCCAGCGTGTTCTTCTAATGCGATCCCCCCCCCCCCCCCCGCCGTGTACGTCTGTATGAACACGCAGGCTGCATACTTACTAAGTCGTTTGCCGCACCACCGAAGTCGCTCATTCTGGTGGCTGGCGGGAATCATTGTAGAGATGAGGAGGACAAGCCACGTCAGCGCTGAAGTGACCGTGACAAGTCCACCAGCGGAACCCATGTTTGCAAGAATACAAACCTCGCAAGTGTGGTGAGGCACTGCCGCAAGCGGCCACCGTCTACAGGCAAAAGTGCCGGAGACCACCCGCGAATAAAGATCTGCGGAATGAGCGCAAACAGAGCTCCAACGAGCGACGTCCGTGAGTAATGAGAAGGAGGATGTGTCCACCTGTGTCAAGAAGAGCCTGCCAAAACCGGGGCATAGCGAATGACGACCTAACTTTGTTTGAACATGGCAGTGTGCCTTTACCGGGAGCGAGTAAGAGAAGGT